TTTTTTTTTTTTGAGACAGAGTCTTGCTTGTTGCCCAGGCTAGAGTGAGTGCCATGGTGTCAGCCTAGCTCACAGCAACCTCAAACTCCTGGGCTCAAGCAATCCTACTGCCTCAGCCTCCCGAGTAGCTGGGACTACAGGCATGTGCCACCATTATCTTATTAGATTTTTTCTATATATATTAGTTGGCCAATTAATTTCTATTTATAGTAGAGACAGGGGTCTCACTCTTGCTCAGGCTGGTTTCGAAATCCTGACCTCAAGCAATCCACCTGCCTCAGCCTCCCAGAGTGCTAGGATTCCAGGCATGAACCATCACACCAGGCTAATTATAAGTTTTTCAAAGCTATAAGTTTCCCTCTTAGCTTTAGCTGCATCTACTTTCATTCATCTGAACATACTTTGTAATTTCAAGTTTGATCTATTAATAATATATTTTTATTAAAAGTGGCTGTTTAATAACATCTAAATACTACATGTAGAATTTTAGAGCTCCTATCCTCAATTAACTGATTATCCTAATTATACATTTTTCATGGAATTAAAGTAAAACACAGCGCTGTAATATTTTTATCCAATTTTTAAGATCAATGACTTTCACCATTACTAACCACTACTTGTCTAATCTCCTAGAGTTAAATGTGGTTAAAAATGAATGTAGTATATATACTCCTCCAATAATGGATCTGGGTTTATAAGATGATAAACAAGACTACCAAAAAATAAAAAAAATAAATATATAAACATATCGATATAGGAAATTTATAGAAAATCTTTTGGTTTTATTTTATAAGCTTACAGTGAGATTTAGCAAAGATACGATTAATTTAAGAGTGAATATGTTTTTTAAAAAATCTGGAGACCATAAATAGTTGCATCCCTGGCAAGTCCATAGGAGAAAAATAAGTAACTTAGGGAGAGACTCTGAAGAGTAGAATGAGTTAAATTAATAACAGGATGGGAAAAATAAGAGAAGCAGCTATTAACAGCATATTAAAATTGAAATGATTACCTGTGGGATAGTAAAATACGCCTTATCTACAGTCATAATTGGGTCTCCTTGTTTGTAACCAAAGTCTGAAAAGTCTTTTGGATCCGTATGCAAATATCCTTCAAAGGAAGAGTCCTGTCTAGGGGAACTGTAGAGCAAAAAGAAAGACCATCACTAACACTTTCTGTTACCCTCTGCTGAAACACAATTCTTTCTTTAAGTTTTTCTTTACTTTTTGAATTACAAAAGTGAGAGATAGTTGTAAATTTCCAACAATACAGAACTGTAAAATACAGAAAGTTAAAGTCCCAGTGAGCCCACCACTCCTCCTATCCTAGAAAAGCACTAGAACTGTTTGCAGTATCAATTTATTTTCATCTCCTCATGTATAAAGTCTTAAGAATGTAAATAAAAACAAAAAGAAATTATTTTCAATGAGGTCCAATTCTTTCAAATACTTAATGCAAAATAGATTTGCTAACCAAAGGGTAGAACTGCATCTTTTAGGCGTGGGGGCTCTGGAAAGGTGCTGGGGAACAGGTGACCAGCCTAATAGCGCCTACTGGAGTGTGGCCCCACCGGCTGGGAGAACCCCACCCTCCCCAAGACAGCTGCTCGGACACTTACACGGAACCGTGGTAGAAGTAACCGAGGAAGGGCGTGTTGGCAAGGGACGACTGCACACACAGGAGGGGAAACCACTCGGGGACACGGTGCGTCCTCCCAGTGGAGCAGAGCTGATCGAATGGAGGATTGACATCGCCTCCAAACACGCCGGGGAAACAGGACTGTCGGAACAGTCCTGTTAACTCGGATGAGCATTCCTGGAAAGCAAGCGTAAAGGGACAGTGAGAGGACAAGAGCTTCCGTCCGCTGTGATGGTGCCACCATCCCCTGGCAGTGCGATGGACACTGAGGCCAGCAGTTCACTACTGGGTCAGTGAGAAACAAATACAATCCCCGTTTCACGTAAAAGTGCTCTGTGCCCACAAAAAGTAAAATAGTTCTAGAATTTCTTTAGCCAATTCCCCAAATAAGCTTCCAAGTCAGGAACTTCAAGCCTTAAAGAGAACCACAGCTTTTCTAGGAACATCCTACTTACGTCCCTAGTAAAAAAATGGGGAAGAAAAGATGGCAAGAACAGACCCCAAACAGGGACTAAAGCAGAGTAAACTTCCCTTTCTAACCATTATCACCATTCAAACCCCTAGCCCAGAAAAGCCTAAGAGCATTGAGAGTTAGGGCAAAGAGTCTGTATTCCACAAGAATCCTCAAAGTCCTCACTAGATTACAACACAACGCAATTAATGTCATCAGGAAGTGACTTGATTCACGCATTCATGTACTTAGTAAGGAATTCATGTATTCCTTTTTTCAAAACAAAAACCCAAAAAGGAATTCATGTATTCCTTTTTTCACAAAGGATCAAGAGAGCTCCAAGTTCAATTATATCCTGAATCCCTTGTTTATTGAAGGTTGAAAAGTAAGTGATCTATTGTTTTAAACAAGAGCAATTCAAATTACAAATCAGTCATGTATAAAGTGATAAGTTGTGGTTATCTGAAGACGTATTTTGACATTTTTATTGATACCTGAATCAGATTTATGATGTGCTTTACTTTTTTTTTTTTTTCAGTTGTCAATTCTGAGCTCAGGTCAAGTGTAGAAACCTTCATAGTTACAAAGGTCAGTAGTAAAAACCTTTTCATCATCATACTTTTTAATAATTGTTAGCATAAGAGTTACAACATTAATGCAGACCCTAAACTTTCCTTTTCTGTGTTGTAAAGCCGATCATAACACAGTATACTTAAAAATTTGCTAAGAAGGTAGATCTTATAGTAAGTGCTTTTACCACAAAAGAAAACAACCAGAAAAACCCAAAGTGGGTGGAAGGAAGGAGGTGTGGATAAGTGTATGGTATTGATTGTGATGATGGGTTCCTGGGTATATACTTATCTCCAAACACATCAAGTTGTATACCTTAAATATCTACAGCTTTTTGTACATCAATTACACTCAATGAAGTGGTTTAAAAACATAAATTTGCATTTCCCCAGTGGAGAAGGAAAAAACCCAAGCAAGCATAATTGCACTCATCTAGAAATGGGAGTGACTTGAGTACTAATGTTCTTCTTTTGCATTTCTCATTCCTCTTAAATCTAAATAAGAATTAAAAGTATGTATTTTACCTAGGATTAGGTGATGGTTTCTAAGAACCCAGAAACCAGAAACACAAGTAAAAAAAGAAAAATATTAGATAAATTAGACTTCATCAAATTAAGAAACTTTTGGGCTTCAAAGGACACCAACAAGAAAGTGAACAGCCTACAAAATGGGAGAAATTTTCTACAAATCATATATTTGATAAGAGACTAAGATCCAGAATGTATAATGAACTCATAATTTAACAAAAAGACAAGCCAGTTTAAAAATGGGTGAAGAAGAATCTAAATAGACATTTCTCCAAAGGAGATAAACTCATATCTAATAAGCACATGAAAAGATCTTCAACATCATTTGCCACCACAAAAATACAAATAAAAATTACAATGCAATATTAGTTCACACCTACTAGCACAGCGGCTATAATAAAAAAGACAAATAATAACAAGTGTTAATGAGGACATGGAGAAATCACCATCCGTGTACATTAAACATACAGTAACAATATAATCCAGGCATTCTACTCCTAGCTATAGACCCAAGAGAAATGGAAATGTATGTTTACACAAACACTCATACACAAATGTTCGTGGCAGAGTTATTCATAATAGCCAAAAAATGGAAACAACCTGAATGTCCAGCAACTGATAAATGGATAAAAATATATGATATAGACAAAAAATAGAATATGATTCTGTCATAAAAAAGGAATGAGGTAGTGATAAGATGTTATAGCATAAATGAACCTTAAAAGCATCGTACCAAGTTTAAGAAAACCAGTCACCGAAGACCACATGTTATGTGATTCCATGTACACGCAATGTCCAGAATAGGCAAATCCACAGGGACCAAAGGTAAATGAATAGTGTCCTGGGATGGGGGTGGGGATTGGAGTGACTGCAAATGGGCACAAGGTTCTTTTCTGCAGCAGTGGAAATGTTCTAAAATCAGAATGTGGTGACGGTTGTACAACTCTGTAAATTTACTAAAAATCAATGAAAAACTGTACTTGCATCCTTTTTATATTTTCTTAAAATCTTCTAAATAAATAATATGAGGCCAGGTGCAGTGGCTCACACCTATAATTCCAGCAATTTGGGAGGCCGAGATAGGAGGACCACTTGAGGCCAGGAGTTCAAGACCAGCCTGAACAACATAGGGAGACCCCACCTCTGCTAAAAAATAAAAAAATAAGCCAGGCATGGTGACATGCACCTATAGTCCCAGCTGCTGGGGAGGCTGAAGTAGGAGAATTGCTTGAGCCTGGGAGTTCAAGGTTGCAGTGAGCTTTGATCAGGCCACTGTACTCCAGCCTGGGCAAGAGAGCAAGACCCTATCTCTAAAAAAAAAAAAAATGAGTAAATAAATAAATTTTAAACCAACCTCTCAGTATGCAATCATGACATTATCCAAAGAGATATACTTTTTTTCCTTCCATAAACTAAACCAATAATGCTACATAAGAAAATACTCAATTTGAAAACAATTTGCAATAGGAAATATAATTTCAGTTTTGAAAGATCATCCATTAAAAAGCTGTTGGACGGGAACTGTCAGTGGTCATGTGCTGTCAGGTAGCACAACTTCTGTGCCCAATAGTCAGAAAGAACGTACCTGGTCACAGCAGCAGCGAACATCACAGGCCCCGGCTGTTAAATTACAAGGACAAGGACCAAGGGGCTGATACACCTGGTTAGGAATAACAGTCACATTCTCTGAAAAGTACACACAACAGAAAAGTTCAGCTATGAAACACTCTGACAAAGCATTGTCACATTTTTGACAGTTGGACAAAAAAGCTGAATCATCATGTTTTATAAATCACCATTACCAAATATTGCACATTGAGGAATACCTGAAATGAGCTCTGCATAAAACATATCTGAGGCCTGCACCTGCTACTCCAACAAAAACCCAACTATAAGAAAACATGCTAGTTACAATGAACCAAAGAAGTCATAGTTGATCTTGAAGATAATCAATTGACTAAAAGTTACAAATTAGGATAAATGTAACACACTGAGTTTGTTTTTCAATATGCTGAACAATCATTTCATAACACATCCAGACTTTAAGCACTTACTCCTTCAAACGCATTACCTTTTCCTAGCAGATAGAACTGAAGCCATGGTGACACTGCAGACAGCTTATCTGGAATCTATCCATCACAAGATCACATTCATGCTAGACCTCAAGACCACTTGCCGTTGTAAATCCAAATCCTCAACACCATGATTCTGTTTGGAGTGTAGGGAAACTAACTAAATCTAAGGTGGAACCCTGAGGCAATTTTAGCTTGTGATAAATCAGCTCTCAGCAGCCAATTCCCAGTGCCTGCCTGCCACAGGGCTGGGGCCACTCCAGGCATTCTCCACACTCAATCCTAGAGATCTTTTTAAAATATACAAGTTAAACTGTACCACTCTTCTGCTAAAACCCATCCACTGGCATCCCACGCTCCCCACCTGGGCCAGGTACCTTGCGACCTGGCCGCTGCCCCCTGTCCTGGGCACCCCCTTCCTGTTCTCCATGCTCTGGCTCCACCGTCACCTTTCACACACCCTTCCAAGCTAGCAATGATGTAAATTCCATCTGTAAGAGACCGGTCAAACACAGTGGTGGTCGATCCACACAATGAAATACTATGCACCATTAAAAAGAATGAGGTGAACCTACACATGTTCATATGTAACCATGTATAAGTTATATTGTTTTTTAAAAAGTAGAAAATCATGAACTGTGTTATTAACCCTTTGCACTCAGATGTCAAGTGTGGATAATGTCGAGTGGATGAGAAAAAAGCAAGTGAGTGCAAAGGGTTAAGTATTAATGTGTGTGTGTTTTTTTTAGAGAAGGGAATACATGCTTCTACAAGTATAAGAAGTTAGCAGGCTGACTCTAGGAAAGGGAGCTGGAAGTCAAAGTTTTCACTAAAAATCTGTTTTTCTATAAACTCATTCATGAGTTTTTCCCTTCCTTTCTTTTTTTCATAAGATGGAGTCATGAGAATCAATGCACAGAAATAGATTTCAAAAAGGATTTAAGATGGCTTACAAAGATCCAAACACTAGAGCAAGATAAAATAAATCTTAAATGAAAGTACAAAATGAAAACTTTTAAAATAAGAAAACTAGAAAAATTAAGTTTATGGAGGCCAGGCAGACTCCAGAGTGAAGGTGAGCACACCTTACCAACCACAGGGCACATACTTATCACACAGGTAAGTGTGACATGAAGGCTTTGACAGTCAAAGACTTCACTTGCCTGAGGCGTTACGGGTCAGAGAAGAGTTGGCGTACATTTCCACCTGAATGAGTAGATGTGCCAAACAGGACGAACTGCGAGATGCTGAAACCAGAAGAGTTTGGAGGATGCACGGGGACTCTGAGACAGAATCTGTCTCATTAGAGGAACACCATTCCAGACCCTTCATCAACCTTACTGTCACTTCCAGCACATCCTGAAAGGAAAAGAATGCTGTACTTTTAAAGCGACTCAAAGCAGTGTCTATAAGAACACACAATGGAAAACACAATAAAAGCACATACTAGCCTCAGTTCATTTTATAAAAGGAGAACTGTAACAAAGATGACAGAGTTATCTTTAAGTATGCTCCATAAATCTGGTAAGATGCAATCTCTGATTCCTACTCTTTAATTTAGCATAAAAGCAAACAACTTTTGGACACCCACAGAAAGCTAACCCCAGATCTGATAAATCAACTTTGTGCAGCACCTTTTTAGTTTATCATCCTGCAGGCAGATTAAATACACAAAAAAAAGTCAATGGAAACAACTCTCCGTTTATCTCAGAATGACTTTGTAAATGTTCATTCCTAGGGTGCAGAGTTCATCTTTCTCATTCTTTTATCTCCAGAGTTGATGTCTTGCACATACTAGGCACTCGATAAACACTTATTAAACAGAAGACCTTTAATCTCTCCAGGATTGAGTGTCTTTACACATAAGCTCAGAGTTGGGCAAGATCAGTGGTTATGAAGCTTTTCTGAGTAGCAGACCCACTTGATAATGCGATGCTAGCTGGTGAACCTCTCATCCGAAAAATGCACATACACACAGAATTTCACATACGATGTCATAGGGTTCACAGAGCCCTGGAAATGCATCCCAGACCCCTAAGCATACAGTAAGGACCCCTTGGGCTGGTTCAGCATCTACCAGATCCCATAGCCCACAATTTAATGACAGTTGTGAGCAAGGAGAAAACTGTATCTTGTCAAATCATGAGAGCATTGCAGAAACCCTAGACATGGGCCTCTACACAGGTTACAGAAGGTTTTACCTGTGGCCTTACTGCGCTGGGGGTCACAGTCACACTCCAGTTTTCTGCCTGAGTGGTCAGCCCGACACAAGTTGGAACCGGCAAGACTCCTACGGAAGAGAAGATCAGAATGCCAGGCACCATGGCCCAGCAGCTAAGGGTGTGCACTAGAGTCAAGACTGCCTAATCTCTTTACAAGCCTAGGGCTGGGCCCTTTACAAGCTCTGTGACATCGGACAAGTGACGATCTCTCTGAAAGTCAGTTTCTTCATTTGTCAAACGGAATGAAAACGCATCGCTACTCTCGTTAGGACAACGCGATGACGCATGCGCTAGTTCAATGAATGCTAGCCATTACGATTTCAAGCTTTCTTTCACCGAACCTGCCGGTCGGGGCTCTCTAGTCTGCAGCAGCCCCCATCCTTCCTCCGCACCCCAACTTTGCAGAGGGCAGAGGCGGGGCCTAGAGCGTGCGGCTCGCCGGGCTCCGTGTGCGGCCTGGCCCTGGCCCGCTCCTCTCCCTCCCCACAGGAAGGGCCGGACTCTTTACCCGCCTCGTCACGCAACACGGCCAGGGACACGGTCACATTCGCGGTATCTCCGACGACCAGGAACGCGCGGGCCTCCGGGCCGGACATTCGGATGAAAGAAGGGATGAAAACTAGGCGGGAAGGAAGGGGACGGGGCGGGGTTAACAGCCGAAGCGTCAGTGCCTGAGGGGCGGGTGGCGGCCTCCTGGGGGACCCCCGTGTGACCCTTTAAACGCGCGGTCCCCTCAGACCCTGCCCCCGCAGGTCCCCGCCCCGCCGTACCCACCCAGGTCCCCCCACAGAGGCCTCAGGACGCTCTGCAGAAGGAAGAGCCCCAAAAGGAGGGCGGCCGGCGGCGGAAAGGCCATGCCTGGGCCTCGCGGGCCCAGCACCGCGGAACTGCGCCCGCCTCAGAAGCCGGGAGATGCCAAGACGCCAAAACGCCAGCGCTGCCACCCCGCTGCCGCCATCTTGTCAAGCGAAATCCCGGAGCTATGGCAACCACCAATCGGCTGCCGGCCGGGAGGAGCAGCGCGTCGCGATTGGACCAGCGGCAATAGAGCCCGCCCCGGCCCAGGCCGGAGCATCCCGGCCCCGCCCACAAGGCCTAGAGCGCTTTTGCGGGCTCTTAGTGCTCAAAGTAAGAAAAATCGTGAGCTGGTAGAAATCTGTCTCCAGTTCAAAAACTGGAGTTTCCTCCCACCCGAGAGTTAATGCAGCCACACTCCAAGGGCGAGCCTGTAACCACTGGCTTTTAAACAAAAGGGGTAGGTTTTGCACCTTAATAAACGTGATTTTTATGGGGATTATTTGGGGGGGGAGCAAAAAGGGATGAGGCTGCAATACTGTAATTAGGTAGCGCTGTTGCATTGTCTTTATTATCACTCTTTTTTTTGAAGGGTTTTCTCCACCACACAGCGCTCTCAGCACTCTGAAAGCAGATCCAATTAAAGAACACACAGGAGTATTCCCCAGCAATAGGACAGATGGGAAAGTATAAGAGTTCTGCCTGGAAAAACTTTCCTTTTTCTTAGGTCAACAGCCTCAAAGCATTTCAAGCGTTATAACAGCATGGGGACTGAGAGTTGAGGCTCTGAGTTCAGACTGCTGTGGGATTTTGCCTTCCCTCCACAGATACTGTTAACTGACCTTGGGCAAGTACTTAATCTCTCTAAACTTCAGTTTCCTCATCTATTTAAAAAAAAAAAAAAGGTTGATAATAGACTTTCCCTCCTAGGATTGTGTGAGGATTAAGTGAGGTAAGGTATCTCATGAGGGTAGACCAATGCCTGGCATACGGAAGCACTCAATGAATGCTCACTCATTTTGTTAGCTGTGGTGTGTCCTTTAGCTGAGAGAACCCATGTATGGTGCTCAGCATGCAAATCCATGTGCAGTGTTGGCTGACAAATGCCAAATAAATGTTTGCCATTATTCTCAATGTTCAGTCATATGTTGATCAGCAAATTTAACATTATGAAGGGTTCTGAAAGTTGAGGTTCTATGAGGGACCCTACACACTTGGAAAATTGTGGGTTGCTCCAGTTGTAACATTAGCATGACACTTTCCCCTGCATCTCAGCTCCTCTCTGAGAAACTGCAAAGTGTTTACCTCTCTAGATATCTGGTAATAAAGCCTAGGAGAATGTTATTAAGAGGAAAGTTGTCAAACACTTTGATATTTCTGTTATTCTCCATCTGTCTTTGGCAGAATGAATCTACAAATAAAGTTGACATGACCAAACAGTAAAGCTTGGGGTGTAAAACCTGCAGAAAGAAAACATTTCTGAGAACAAGTAACCATGGCCTGTTGTATTCCTCCCTCCACGTAATTTCACACACATTCACTCCTCACTATAAAGAATACATAGGCCAGGCACGGTGGCTCACGCCTGTAATCCTAGTACTCTGGGAGGCCGTGGTGGGAGGATTGTTTGAGCTCAGGAGTTCAAGACCAGCCTGAGCAAGGGCGAGACCTCGTCTCTACTAAAAATAGAAATTAGCTGGACAACTAAAAATATATATAGAAAAAATTAGCCGGGCATGGTCCCAGCTACTCGGGAGGCTGAGGCAGGAAGATCGGTTGAGCCTAGTAGTTTGAGGTTGCTGTGAAATAGGCTGACGCCATGGCACTCTAGCCTGGGCAACGGAGTGAGACAGTCTCGAAAAAAAAAAAAAGAATACATGAAAAGATTTCTGAGTTTGCCGAGATAGCCAAGATGGGGATAAGCCCAGTGTAGTAGAGGGGCAGCAAGGCCAGTAGGACTAGAGGGAGGTGACAAGCAGGAAGTGACAGGAGAGGAAGAGGAGAGGCAGCCCTATGAGATCATGAAGGGTCTTAAGGCCAGAGTACAGCGTTGCATTTTATTCTAAGCACAATGGGTGGAATTAGGAAGTTTTAAGCAAGAGAAAGAATGTGCTGTTCTAAAAGGATCACTGGCTCCTGGAGGGAGAATACTGGGAGCAAGAATTGAGGAATTAAAAACAGACTGTCCAGGCCAGGTGCCGTGGCTCACACCTGTAAGCCTAGCACTTTGGGAACCCAAGGCGGGAGGAATGCTTGAGCTCAGGAGTTCGAGACCAGCCTGAGCAAGGGTGAGACCCTGTCTCTACTATAAATAGAAAGAAATTAGCCAAACAACTAAAAATAGAAATAAAATTATCTGGGTGAGGTGGCACATGCCTGTAGGTCCAGCTACTCAGGAGGCTGAGGCAGAAGGATTGCTTGAGTCCAGGAGTTTGAGATTGCTGTGAGCTAGGCTGACGCCCCGGCACTCTAACCCAGGTAACAGAGTGAGACTCCGTCTCAAAAAAAAAAAGACATCCACAAAAACCTGTATAGACATGTTCTCAGCATTGTGTGTTGTAGACAAGAGGTAGAAACCACCCAACTGTGCATCAACTGAGAATGAACAAAACGTGATACACCATATAGTAAGATAGGATTCAGCTATGAAATGAAAGGATGTAAAATGCTGCCACATGCAAAAGCCTTGAAACATTATGCTAAGTAAAAGATGCCAGTCACAAAAGATCACATAGTATATGATTCCATTTCTATGAAATGTCCAGAATACGCAAATTCCAGGCTCAAGTGCAGTGGCTCACTACAACCTAAAACTCCTGAGCTCAAGCCATCCTCCTACCTCAGCCTCCCAAGTAGCGAACCACCACACCTGGATAATTTTTCTATTTTCTGTAGAGCCGGGGTCTCGCTCTTGCTCAGGCTGGTCTCAAACTCCTGGCCTCAAGCAATTCTCATGCCTTGGCCTCCCAGAGTGCTAGGATTACAGGCATGAGCCACTGCATCCAGCCACTTTTTGTACATTTTCCAACAGTGAATTCTGTGGTCTGTGAATCTACTTCAATTAGGACGACCTGGTAGTAGTGTAGCCTCTCATCTGTGCAACATGGGGTAACACTGTGCAACCATGTCAGACTCTGAGACTCGTAGGAAAGAATATGTTGTAAAGTGCTTAGCACAAGGCCTCCACAAGAGAGTATTCCATAAATATTGGCTGTTATAATAGTTGAAAGAATGAATGAATAATGAAGGAAGGAAGGAATAATGATGAAAGCTTTTAAAAGATCCTTTGTTTATTAGCACTATGTTGTAGCCTGGGTCCTCCCAGAAGCTGCTGCCAACGTGGGATTCAAGTGCATTTATTAGGGAAACCGCCTGTGAAATGAGGACAGAGCTGGGAGAGCCCTTAGACCAGGCTGCAGTCTGATCCTGAGTGGAAAGAAAAGGGGGAGGAGGGAAGGACAAAGGGAGGGAGGAAGGGAGGAAAGGAAGCAAGGATGGGAAGGAATTTGGGTGGAAGCAGTTTAGACTGCAGTGTAATTCTCAGGGAAGTCTGGCCAGGCTGGGGGAGGTTTTCAACTAAAGTCAGTGGGGCCTTGCTGGAGAGCCTTAGCACTCTGGCACTGTCCCTGCTGGGAGCAGCCCGTGGGAGCGGGGCCTCCCACACAGTGACAGGCTTCTGGATTTCACAGTCAGTGGCTGGGCCATCAATTCCACCCCCAGAAGGTGGAGATCTAAGAGGTGCATTCTCTGCCATACACTGCCTTGCTTTTTAAGATATATGACAGTTTATAAAACATTTTTGCATCCTTTATCCCATTTGACCCTGCCACGAGGCCAGCAAGGCAAGTATGGTCTGGTCTGGGTGTGTACATTTCTATAGGTCTCTGATTTGCATCACTCACTTAGCCAGGGGGAAATTTCCTAAACTTCCTTTTAATATAGGTGCTACAACCTTATCTAAGAATTCCTAAGTCACAGTGTTTTAAATCCATTAAAAACAAAACTGAAACAGAATTAAGAAAGTGCATAAACATTTCAAATGAAAAAGCAATAACAGAAGCCTTATTAGCTTGTTTGAAATTACTCATCTTTTACATATCTGATGCTTTATTTCCTAGACATAAAATAGTGCTTTCCATTATATTTAATTAGTATATGAAATATGAAGTATTATTTTTAAAAGATAGATTCTCAAACTCAAGAATTAACAAATACTTGCCAAGTGATCACCAAAGTCCTTGTATAATTTGTTAAAACCACAAATACAGAATATAAAATCTACTTGAAATCATCTAACCAAATACCAAACTGTTTAATATTCAGCTTGTATAAGGAGAAAATTAAAATATATTTACATATAAAATTTTGTACACAAATAGGTTTTTGTTAATTACTTTTGTTTTTAATGTTTTTCTGTAGAGATGGGGTCTCACTATGCTGCCCAGTCTGGTCTCAAACTACTGGGCTCAAGTGATCCTCCCACTTCAGCCTCCCTAAGTACTGGGATTATAGGCATGAGCCACCACACCCCACCTGTCACTTTTAACAACAAGGCAGATAATAAATTAATCTCTCTGTCTCCTATTAGTAAAATAAATAAATAAATAAAAACAAAGCAAACCAGGTGGTTTTTAAGGAACCACTATTCCTTAAACTCTTTCTGCTGGAACTTAAAATGACTTCTAATAATTTCAAAGATTACATAGAAAAATAAATTTTTTATTGTTGAAATTACAAATAATTTTTCTTTTGAACTTATAAAAGTTTTCAGTATTCACTCCAAAGCTTCTAGAGAACAGTTTCCAATATTAATGGGTTATTTCTCCGCACTAAAAAAGGAAAGAATTCTATCTGGGAACAACACTTAACATAGAGTCCATTTTCCCCTGTAAATTCCCCTTGGAACCAGACATTAGCGCTCACAAATAAGTTCTTCACCCAACTGTGAAAAAAAATTTGTTACCACACTAATGCACTTGCTCTTCTTACTCATTTAAAATCGGATTTTGTAGGTATTTGGTGACAAACTATTATTATTTGCATAAAATTGTCCAAATACGTAGTGATATCAGACAAAAAAATCTGCTAATATCTGAAGCTAAATCTCAATTTAGACAATAAGGATTTTATTTATATAACTATTGTTGAAGTTAACTGTTACGTAAGATGTTCTATCTCGATTAATGC